CACTCATGTAGTTCTTAATATAGGACCTAATTATTAAGTTAGTTTTAGTCCTAAATATAAAACTCATTTATTATATTTATTAATTTTTTTTGAATTATTCATATTAATACTCTATCAACTATAAGCAAGTAGTTAGAAAAAAAACATATCATATTTTTTTTCTAATTAATTAACTTACCTAACTTTCTTAATTTAATCAAATTAGTTAAATTAAATATGTCTTATATTAATCACTATAAGAGCATTAATTATGAGCAAAACATTGGCAAAATAAATTATAAGTACATGAGGGAGAAGAGAATGTGGAGGGAAATAATTAAAAGTAGAAGAGGGCCTGAAATGGGGTGAAATGTTTGGAGAAGTGTCAACTTCAGATTGACTGTGAGAAAAAGGGGCCTGAAAAAACACGAAACTGCTCTCTCAAATCTACAGAGAATAATAATGTGCAATTAATAATTGGATAAAGTTATCCAGATTAGAAAAAGTCCAGCTGCCACATCCTGTTTGTATCTTCTTCCTCCCCTCAACGCAAGGTCATTATTTTCCCTTTTCTTCCTTTTAAATAATATTTTATCGCAGAAAATTTCCACCGTACATACATTCTTTCTCACACGCAAAAATATATTTGCCGTTGGAGATATTAATCAATTTTTGGGCGCTTTCAATATGGCATTCCCAAGAAGAATCTGAACCAACAGCACGCAATGGATAATTATATAATATAAATCAATTTAGACATTGCACGGATACATTTTTATTATATGATATTAATATACTACTTCTGGTTTGAACTATAAATTAGACCTTATATTAAAAACTAAAAATAATAATATAAGAAACTCCCAAGTATTGGTTTTAATTGAGATTTGAGCCGAGTAATTAAGATAAAGAGGACCTTAGTAATTTAGTTGGGAAATAATAAGCAAAATAAAACTGATTTTCTTTTTGTGCAAAATCAAAAAAAGTGAGTTTAAATTGTGAAAAAAAAAAAACAAAAGTGAGCTCAACTTAGAACTCGTTATATCAATTTATACGCGTTATAATATTCTGTATTAATAAATAATCCAGCTAACACCGATGAAGGAAAAAGAAAATTTTGGGGAAAAGACTGCCCTATATATATCCCAAATATATATATATATATATATAAGACAAAAAAGATCATAATTCCTACAAATTAAAAAGATTCCCCCTGTTTCTTGTTGTATTAATATTTAATAAGTTAAAATTAAATATTCAACCACTTAGGTCACATCGCTTATGCCCAGAAAAGCTACATATTTTTCTTTGAATAGGGTCTGCTACAGTGCTTGACCTTTTATCTTTTGCAAGTAAAAGTATGTGACGTTCTAACTATTGATGGTCCAAATATGCAATAATAGCACTTGCGAAAATATATTACCATAGAAGCACTCACCTGGAACAGTCCAAATGGCAAGTCCAATTTTACGTATTGTCATAACTTTTTCCGTCATTTTCCCCTTAATTTTCAAATGAAATTAATCCAAAAAGTATTCCTATTCTACGCTAACTAATTACGTCGTGGTGGTAATTAGGATTTTCTGTCCAAACTTTGACCAGGTTAGGAGGAAGTTTGGAAACTCTTAAAAACACTTAAAAAAAATATTTTCACATGACCGAAATAAAATTTATTTCACATACTTAGTCCAAATATTATAAAATTATTTTGAAAAAACTAATCCAAATATTCTCTAAATAATTGAAGGTGAGCTTGGAAATCGAGGTTATTCTGCAATAGGACAACTAATTGTTGAGGAATATTTTTGCGGACGCAAATGATAATTGCTGTCAACGAGAGAAATTAAGATAGGTCCAACACTATTAGTACTCCTCCGGTCCTAAATGTAAGACCTTTATACTAGTGTGTATAAGGGTCTTACATTTAGGACCGGAGGAGTATTAATCATCACTCGTTAATTTAAACCCTTCCGTCTAATCATGTCTTTCTTTTTTCTTTTTGTCCAGTCAAGGATCCATTTGGTCCGGTTAATAGATTAACCATAATTTAAGTGACTAATTCACTCATTGCTAAATCAGAAAATTGGGAAAAATATTCCCATTGAAAATCTCATTAGTGAAAATGACCTAAGTCAGCATATTGATAAAAATATGAGTAAATATATTTAAAATTTAGTTCATGAACTTTGAGAGAGTTTTTTCAGTTTAGTATTAACTATTAACAAATGTCCTCGTACGTGGAAGAACGACAATTTTTCATAAGACTGGGTCTGAACTAACAAGTGAAAGCCCAATAACAAAGCAATTTAAGGGATGTACGTGAAGGCCGGCCCCCTATCAATCCCCCCCCCCCCGGGAGGAGCCCAGACTCGGAAGATCGAAGCTACGAGCGCATTACAGTGTTGTGAAGGACGGTTAAGAAATGCCAAAAGGAAGAGTGCATGCGTGTTCTTATAATATAAACGCCCCCAAGTTATTTATAAATACTCCCGTGCTTAATATAAAAATAGTTGATTAATTTGAATAAATTAAAAAAATTAGTTAAGTTAGTTATTTATAATAAGTATATGTTGAATTTTTTAAAATATCTTTGCTAATCAAATATATTGGCTATAACTACCATTATTATAGGGACTACCTTAGAAAAAAAAATAGATAAATACTCCCCAGTTTTTAATATAGGACCTAATTGTTGAGTTAATTTTTATCTTAAATATAAGATCTATTTCTTATATTTATCAATTTTTCCTAGATTACTCCTATGGATACTCCCTCAACTATAATTAAGCAGAAGAGGAAGGGAGGATATTAAGAAAGACGATATGGTGTTTTAGAAAAAAAACATGTTATATTTCTTATAATTAACTAACTTATCTAATTTTTTTAATCTAATCAAATTAGTTAAATATGTCTTGTATTAAAAATCAAAAGAATGTGAGAGAAAAAATAAATTAGAATCTTATATTTAGGATCAAAATAAAAATCAAATGAATTATTAGAATTGATTTTACGGTGGTATTAGTTTTAAATTGCAGAGTTAAATCGGAAGCTTGATCTAATCATCTAAACATGATCAATAATGTGCCACCTGTTTCTTGCAAACCTGAGGCTGAAAGTACAGTTGGCCTATGGCTGGGCGATAGTGGTAAGTAAAAGAAAGCCCACGGAGAAGCTTCCGGCTTGGACCTGGAGAGCCGTAACTGGATGGGCTGACGCCTTGGTGTCCAAGGAATGTTCAAGCCCAGAGGACCCAAAATTTGGATTGTTCCCTCACTCTCTCGGCAGGCCCTAAGCCCCCAAACCTCATACCACCTTTCTCTTTCTTTCTTTTTTTTTTGGGGGGGTGGGTTTAACCTCTAAAGTTTTAAGGGTTAAGGCACGTCTAATACTAAAAATATTTTTTTAATTACATTTAGTATTCTAAAATATATTGTGATGCATCTAGTATCCTGAAATATTTTTCTGGTGTGTCTAGCACTTTGGAATTTTTTTTTGTCTTGATATTAGATACACTATGAAATATTTCGGGACGTTGAATGCATGTTAACCCAAGTTTTAATGCATTTAAAGTAGCTTATGTTGATCTCTATTTTCCCACTTTGCGGCGATCAATTTATTTTTGTAGAGAATAAAAAGGGAAAATTGTCATTCACTTCTTTGTTAAACATATTTTGGTCAAAATAAAACAAGAATTAATTGCAATAGTGAATAAATAAATAAATAAATAAATGTAAAAATGAAAATTGAAATCATAAGAAAGTGACTTTATATAAAGTCGGTTCAGAGCCTCTCCTCTTCCTTCCTCATCTCTTCCGTCCTCTTCCTTTTTCTAACTCTTAGATTAATATTGGAATGGTTCATATTTAAAATTTTTTAAAACTATTACTAAAATATTAAATCATAAAAACAAATTATAAAGTATAAAGCATATTAAATTTAATTCTAATATTTTAGAAAATGCACTAAATATTTTTAAAATTTTTTTATAAAAAATTAAAATCTGAACTGTTAAAATATGATAATCTAGTAGTTAAAAAGAAAAAAAAGAAAAAGAAAGGAAGAGGATAAAAAGAGAAGGAAAGGGAAGAGAAGAGGTTGGAACCGATCTCAAGGAGGCCCAATGGAGTCTGGGGAGCGAAGGGTTTGACTTTCCATGCGGGAAAAGCACAGCAATTTGACCATTTCTAATTTCTCACAGCGCGTGAACCCCGCCCCAGGCTTATGTGACAGCAATATATTTGACACCAACTATTCTTTTCTATTCATTCCTACGGTACGCGAATCTCCTGTTGAAATGCAGTTTTCAACATTTTATTTCTTTTTTTTTTGGGGTTAAAAAAATGATTTAGATTAATTATGTTTGATAGGCTCAATAGTAAAATTGGTAATATCGAGTCTCCTACCATTACTTGTTTCGTTACATTTTCTCTCCAAAGGATAGTTCCATCTAACATTAGGCAGCACGCCGATCTTGTCATTTCAAATAGAAGAAAACAAGTATAAAATTCCAAATTTTCCCCAAAAAAGAAAACTCTAATGTCATTAATCCACTGGGTTAAAAAAAAAAAGAGAGAGAGAAAAAAGAAATCGTGAAAAATGACTGAACCAAATGGATAAACACTGGTACCATGTTGTCGGCCGTGAAAGGAGATGCTTAGGGTTTGTTTGGTTGTTGATTTTTTCTTGTGACTAATCATAGCTTAATCCGGACAGCGACACGTGGTGTGCTTGCCAGACAGCCGAGCCCACAGCCCACTCGTCTGGGCCGTTGACACACGTGAAGAGGATGAGTCTGGGCCCACCAATTGTGGGCCCCCCAATATCGATGGTGCCTCACGTGCCCCATCATGCCCCCGCAACTTTCCTTTTCCTGTTAAAAACAGAAAGCGCTACCAACTTGCTTTCTTACAATCCCAAATTGTGTTTAAAAATTGGATTAGTAATAAACCTTCTAAACTCAGCTGCATTAATTTAGATTAACAACCTTTTGAATTAAAATCGTGTATTGTCATGTAATCGAGAAACATGCAGTGTGTGAGATCGCGTTTGAAGTTCAAGTGAACATAATTTTGCCACCCACAGCCATTAGTTGCCACGTCTATTAAAGAGACTACAGGTATATTACAGTCAATGCCCTCGTTCTTCAAAATTGTTCACTTTAAATAGACATGAATCACATGAACACACGAATTAATAGCGATTTTATATCCAAATGTGGTATTCGAGCATCAAAGACTATTTTGATCAAAACCATGCCTTGACATTTAGAAAGAAAGACTTTTTCCTGGTTTTTTTTTTCTCAATTAAAGAATGAACTTGAATTTAAGAATTACTTACAAGGATTTTTTTTTCCTGGTTCTATTTATAAAATATTTTGAAGACATTTCACCGAAACAGAAAAAGCCTTAAGTGTCATTAAATTTAATTTAAAACTTAATAACTTTGGAGCTTCACTCCTATGTGATATATATTTGACTTGTTTTCATGAATAACAAATGAAAGAATAATTGTGTTGATATTTAAAAAATTTTTAATTGTGAAACTCGCGAACAGAACTAAAGAACACTCTTTTTATGAAAAGAGTTAAAGGAAAAGAGGAGTATTTGCAAATTATTCAGTAGTGGGAACAACAAGATACAATTTTCATCAATGGAACTAATTTGCGTTGAATATTTGCAGGGATATGATTAACGAAGCAGATACAAGAAAGAGGGCAAGAGAAAATCTGGAGGGGGTGCCCCACGGGGGGGAAGATATGAGGAAGTGGATTGAATGTCAGGGGCATATGAACACTGACTGCCATATCATGTCCCAACAAAACATCTTTGTTCTCATCAATTCCTGATGTTGACCCTTCTTCATGTATTTGCGCATTCCATGTATGCCCCATCTCTCCACATATCTTACTCTCTTTCTTTCTTAAATACTAATCATAAAAAAATTAGTTAGTATTTTCTTAGATTGTGTGTTGTTGTAATTGAATAAATATATAAAAGTTAATAGTGCCCTTGACATCACGAAAGGTAACGTTGCCTGGTTGGGTGGTGAGTCACCGACTCACGAGGTCTCCAAGGACAGTGACGCTCCCACTCACGCCTCACCCTCTGGGTTTTTTCTTCTTCTTTTTTTTTTTTGGCAATTTAGGAAACGTTTTGCTGTAATTTTTAGATTTTATGATATAAGAAATGATAATCCATCAATAATCTGGTTCCAAAAATATTCTTCGTTAATTAAGTAGGAGTTAATCAGAAGTTATTATATTAAATGAATGGTCCTTTTAAATGTCCATGCCATTTTTTGTTGGGCAAAAAAATTACCATTTTTTTTAAAAATAAAAGTCCTAATTGTACTTAATAAGATTGATTGATTTTCACGAGGCACTCTAAATTTGACCCAGTATGAATTTGAGGAATAAACTATTGTTTTATTCTCCGGGAATGAATCTCATAATTGATAATGATTGACGGCTTTTTCCTCCTGATCTCTCTCTCTCTCACGCTTCGCAAACTTCCATGAGATCCGAAGTTTCTAGCAGTTGCTCCCATTCCCAAACTTCCCATCTCTCTTTTAATTTAATATTCACGGATTTCCTCGTCTCAAAGAAACCAACATAATAAATAATAATAAAATGAGCCAATAGGAACGCGGAAAAAGATACACCGTCAGCACAGCACGAAAATGAAACTTTTCACTGGATAGCGATGGAAGCAGTTTTACAGTACAGATTCTCTCTACTCAAAGTAAATCAGCTTTTACTTTCCTAAGAAAACAAACACAACTCTTCGGGTCCCCGGAAATCCCCACTTCGTGGTCCACTTCATCAGCGGCCCTTCATCGCCCCTGTCCCACCGTTCTCCTCATAATCAACGGCTCAAGTTGACGCTACACATGGGGCATTCTACCGACGACCTAGATTCACTATTCCACGTCCTTACTACTGTTATTGAGCCTCCATCCCCATGTTTAAAACGAGGGGACGACGCCGTACTGAGTATCCAGCATTAGATCCGAGGTGGGGTCTACCGAGCTGAACAGCCGGTCGAAATCCGACTCCATCTCGGTCCGTTTGGCGAACCGCCCTTTGATCCTCGGCCGAGTTTCTGCGTAAGCCTTTCGCGATGCGTACCGTATGGTTTTCTCAAACTTGCGGTTCTTCCTCTTCTCCCTGTATCTCAAAACGCGAGCTTCCCTGTTCATACCACTCACCGAACTTCCCGATTGGTTTGTGGAATTGCCCGCCGATATGATCCCGCTTGATTCCGAACTGTTACTTATGTTCCTCCCGAACGGGAACGATATTTCTGACGCCGTGTTTCCTCCGTCCGGGACCACTCCCACATCAACCGAAGAAGATGACACCTGCATATCACCAATTAGGTTTCAAACATCAGCACAACTTGAACTTCAATTCCTATTTTTGCCTGGAATGAACAGAGTTTCAGTGATACTCACGCTTTGGCGGCTAAATGACTGCGCTGGATAGCTAATTGAAGAGAGCTTCGATCTGCAAAAATCGATGTCGAAGCAACTCTCTGTGTGATTCATAACCGGAGCTTGAACTGGAACTACGCTATCGTTATTACCCGCTCTGTTATTGTTATTCTGATCGAAGGAGTTTGAGTAATCGAAATCCAGGAATGGATACTCCATGTCCGGAAAAAACATATCGCCCGATTTGATATCCGGAACATCCACGATCTTCGGGTTGAAATTCGGATTGGAAATTAGCCATGATGCTGATTCGGACTCTTCCTGAGGGAATCCATCGGATCCGATTCCGTTATCATTTGGAACCAGAAAGTTAAAGGCAGCAGCGGAGGATTTCGCCACAGAGTCGGCGGCATCGAAGAAGGGCTCCACAGGGACACGCTCGTGACGGCGAGCCAGCGGGTTGGCGGAGTGGATATCCGAATCGCACGTGAGGCAGAGCGCGGCGGCGTCGGCCTTGCACGTGACGGAGGCAGGGGCTTGCTCGCAAACCTCGCACATCCACACACGCTCATGCCGCGACGCAAGCTTATTGGCAGAGTGAATCTTGTTGTCACAGAGCATGCACAGAAAAGCCGAGTCGGCTCGGCAAAAAACCACAGCAGCCGAGGATTTGCAGGAGTCACAGGGCTTCGGCGGCACGGTCCAGCCACCGCTACGAAAGCCCCTGAGGCTTCCCCTCTCGATTCCCATAAAAACAGATTCTCGTTCTGGCGAAGTAGGAAGTTAAGCTGAGGGGTCGGAAGCTGAAGGCCGAGACGCTAAAACACTTTGTTTGGGGAAGGTTGAAAACTTGAAATGAAGTGGGAGGGCTGGGGGCAAGGCTTTTCTAGCATCGAAGAGAGAGAGGAAATCTAGGTGATGACGAATGAGGGGAGGACACGTGGGTGAATATAAGCCACATGCAGGACAAATAATAGATATATACGAGTATCAATCCCCGTATTGAGAGGCAATAGTTGTCATTGTGAGTGGGGCCCATGTGAGGACCACAGAGAGAGATTCATTTAGATGCCCTGACGGGGCGTTTTATGAGAAGAGGCGACAAGTTGAAGTTGGCATGCCGCGACACCCACATGGGATGGGACTCGTCTTTTTCATTTTTCTTCTTTCTCAGAAATTACTTGATTTTTTTTTTTTTTGGCTTCTGCTTCTTGGGAAATAAATTTATCTTAGCGAGAGATTTTATTTTGCCGCTTTTGGGAAAAGAATGATGCGATATTTTTTCCTGTCCTTGGAACTATGAAAGGATGAGTTGTGTGTGTTGTTGAGGAGAGATGCAGGATCGATCTCGAAGAGAACAAGGTATTTGTTCATAGAAAGTCAGACAGCAACGGCACTTTCTCACCGATCCAGAATTCTTGCATGATTCTGGAAACACAAACTTCCATTCTTGGGACACAAGCTTCTGAGTCCCCAGAAAAATGCAAGCAATTACTAGTTTGGTTTCACCAACTTGAGGATTTTCTTCAAGAATATATAAATTCTTGAAATGTTCCCCTTTGCAAAGTTTATTAGTGAGATGACGTAAATCCGAGTATCAATATTCTCAGTGTGTAAAATTTATAGAGTGTTGATATTTTTTGTGTGTAAAATTTTTTGTGTCAGAAGGGTTTTGTTCCTCTCTCTCTCTAAATTTCCCCCTTTTCTTTCTTAAACAGCAGTGAAAAATTCAAGGGGGGCGTACGCGTATTTCTGGATCCTTTTTCCCGGCAGCGTAGCTAACTATGGCCAAAAGTACAAATTGGGTGTTTAGGAACTATGAATTATATTTAAAAGTTAATTATTAGCACTAACGTATGGGTGATTAATTAAGATCTACGTCAATACTACCTCTAATTCTTAAATAAGATGTCGTTTAACTTTTATTTTAATCCTAATTATAAAACTCTAATTCATTTTATCTCTCATATTTATGTATTTTTCTTAAGGTAGTCCCTCTAATAATAGTAGTTCTAGTCAATAAACTTGATTAGCAAGGATATTTTAGGAAAGACAACACTTATTTATTATAAATAACTAACTTAACTTATTTTTTAATCTCTTCAAATTAGTTAACTAGCTTTCATAATTAAGACCAGAGATAGCATATAACAAATTAATAACGCAATGAGGTCGGCAAAAAATCTGTATAGATCTACATGGGGGAATAAGCCTATATCAACTTGATGTGCACCCACGACCTGTCCCCATAATGCTCATCCCCAACACATGAAAAGGACATTTTCTTATATATAATTACGGACACTTGCTAACTTATGAACTAAGTCTAAATGTTTTTGTTGTTAGATAAATAAACTAAAAGATAAAACTTAAATCGCATCCAACCCAATGTTCTAGTTCACTGTGATCATATCAAAGATCTAAAAAACACAAATAAAGCAACTGGAGGAGAAGAAGTGTGAGTGTGTGTGTAAAATTACAATTCACAACACACACACACACCCCTCAGAAATTTAGTGAGCTTGTCTCTTCTTTTTTGAGGTCAAGAACGAACCTGCGAATAAGGAAACTAACATCAAATTGAGCTTTCTAACTATACCAAAAAGGGATAATGGAATTATATAGGCTAACTGGAGTCTGGTTTCCTAAATAAGCTAATAGCTAACTTGCCTATTTTAAACTAGCTAATTAATAAAGTATCAAAAACAATATAAATTGATAATTTATTGAGATATTTATATTTCATCAAATGCTCAAAATGGAAATATGAATTGTTGCTCATAGAATTATGATTTCTACCCCTCATTTTAATCAAACTAGTTGCATTAAAAAAATAAAAAGAATTGAATTAGAAAAAATGGTTATAACATTAGAGAGAAGAAGTATTTCACCCCATATATAAAAGCTCAAAGTGGCGCAGCAAGTGGATAAGAGGAGATAGACAAGATCATAGGACTAAGGTCACAATACAAACGCTATTAAAGGTGCATGAATAAATGTGTAGTTATAATTCCAAGGGAGAAAAGTGTGGTTTAATGGGTGTCATCTTCAACACACACAAATATAAGCCACTATGAACAAATTAAAGTGAATCTGTGCTACAAAGATTAATTTGAGAATGACCTCCTCGATCATCATGGACCATTTTCTTTCTTTGCCTTTTGGGAAAGTCAGATATTATCTTCAAACACAGTAATTACATATATATATATGAATTTTATTAATATTTTTTGGCCAGCCATCATTCTTATTTTAATATGATTCTTCTTAAAGATATGTTGATAGAAACCCTCGTTAATTTTACAGTCATATTTGAGAATTAATATGATGGGGTACCGAATATGATTGATCTAATGCAACATAATTCTTATTTTTCAATCCATTATTACGCATATAAAAAACTAGAATGTTTCATTAATTAATGAATTTCAATTCTATCTTTTGCCGTTAGCTGTGGCAACACTAAAAATAAACCAAACAAATTAAATGTGAAAAGAAAAGATGCACTGGACACAGGACTTTGTCCTCTAGCACTAAAGATGATTTGAAAGTTGAAAGATATAAAATCAATTAGAATACTCTGGACAAAAAATAAAATAATACCGATCAGATTACGCTTTTTGTGATTTTTATTGCTCTATCATGAGAACTGCAAAAGGACAATGGAAGTGAATAGAGAGGGGGGGGGGGGAATTTAATCGCAACAATGGAAGTGAATAGAGGGGGGGGGGGAATTGAATCGCAACTATGTGGGTCCATATGAAACAGTAAATTGATATTACATGTTGGCCCAAAAAAGGTGAATTGATATTACATAATCACTAAAATACTAACTATAGTCCTTATATATCCAGTTTTATTATAGAATCAATAACTCCCTAAAAAAGTTTTAAATGGAATGAGATATTAGCCCTTGAAATATATATAATCAATACTCTCTTCAATCTATAAGAATTAGATAATCAATTTACAGATGCTATGAAAATTATCTAAGTTGTTTATTTTTAATAAAAGTGTGTTAATTTTATAAAATATGCTGAAAACTACCATTATCATCACAAACATAAAAAATCTCACTTTCATAGGTGCAATTAATAAGAAAAAAATAAACTGAGATTTTACATCCAGAATGAATTTAAATCTCTTTTAAGAGAGCATTAAATTTGATGAGGTAAAAGAATGTATTGATGTTGTGCATTCTAATTGTTGGTGCACAAAATAGATGTCTCCTTATATCAAAATTTCTTGTCTTTTTGCTAAAATATCTAGATCCATTAGTCAAAATGCTAAATCACATGTTAAATATATGCTGATAATGATTAGAATTCATTAGGTTTGGAGGTAACTCCATCACATAAGATTTTTGCTTATCAAAAGAATTCATTCATTAAGCAAAAATTCGAAGCTTAGTCAAGTCTTGTTCCTGTCTTGGCTCTACAAAGTAAATTGATCAAAGGAGTTTGAGCCAAGAACTTCTTGATTCAATGATACCTCATACCTCCCCTCATAGAAAAGGTTATAGGTTGGTTATTTGCCATGACAAAATAACCAATATGGGTTGGGTGGGTGTGTGGGTCACCTATTCTGTGAAAGAAGGGGGTTTAAGCTGCTTAAAAAAAAAGAAAAGAGGCGCTGAACCATCCATATGGGGGCAACCCCTTACATTTAGAGTTTTGACAAGCCAATCAGCCATAAAATTACACAATCTAAGAACATAAGATAAATTAAATTAAAGTAAAATCTATGCAAGATTTAAGCAGACATTATAGATCAGTAACAAAAGTACTAGCCTTCCAAACAGGACAAGAAACTTGCTCTTTCACAACCTTCATTACCAATTGCAAAGAATCAGATTCAACTCCCAGCTTTACCATCACTTACGCTGTATCATTAGTTATTTCAAGAATAAGTACAGATTTACCAAAGAAACTGCTATGAACCTAACTGAGTCATACGACTGTTAAAAAGGCAGGGTGTCCATAGAAGTCTACAATTCAGATTCTCTGTCAATGTAATAGACAAATTAGTGATTAGTTCTGATTTTCCCTTTGTTTTTTTTTTACTTAATTAATTTGTGATGATTATCCAAGACTGAAGGGTTTAGGTTTTCAGGCGTCACAGGATATCCTTGCCAGCGCCACCCCACCTTTGGGATGCCTATCAGATCATTTATAAATTATAAATGTAATAATAGTCAACATTTTTCCTTAAATGAAAGAACTATTTTAGTGTTCGGACAATGTTACCCTCTTTGGCGTTAAGTGATTGGATGCATTAACAGACGGGGCAACTCAGTGTGAGCGTGCCACGTAAGCCCGCACCGCCCCGGTGGTTCAACCACGCTTCTTCTTTTTGATTCGCTTCCAAGATTCTCCCAACCCTACTTTCGTCCACCTACATTTTCTTCTCCTCTTTTACCCATCTCCTTCATTTTTCTATTCGTTTCCTCCTTCCTTTGCTTCCAATCTTTTGTCCCTTCAATTTCATTCTCAAGCAGGCAAGTTAAGTTCAGATGATTTATTATTATTAGCTTAGTTTTTTAACAGATAATATTTAATATCCGATTAATCGTTGTCAGATGAGCCAGTCTTTTAGAAGACAGTTTTTTTCACATTCATATGAATTTAATTAGAGATATGGTATTGAAACAATCATAACTTTTGGAAGAATTATTGTGAGGTTTAAAAAAATTTAATTATCAAAAAATTGTCATAACAAGGGAACAACATAATAAACATTGATTCCCTCTAACCTTTTCTATTCCCAGCTGGACGGTGCGTGAGGGAAAAGGACCTGGAGACGAAGCATATTCAATTATTTTATTTAGAGTCAAAGCATTGAAATGATAAGTTGCTCAAAATGGAATGGAGGATGACGTCGCACATGATGTCACAGCTCGATGGGGATAACCAACCAGATAATATTCTGATTAAAAAAAAGACGTGAAATATTATAGAAGAGATAAATTTATTTATTACAAAGTCGGTCCTGACATTCCACTACGGATGCTCAGTCAGAATTCGAGAGTTATATTAATATACATTGAACATATTCATTTGCATTGAACTGCTCAATTATTCGCTGCTCCTACCATTTTAGGAAGGTAATACTTAATTAATAGCCCTCTCACATGATAATATTATCATCTCATGGCAGTGTATGTTTGATACCCAACATTAATAAAAGCAAGCCCTTACACGTATTTTTTTCCCATTCTTTATTGGGTATAAGAAACTCACAAAATCAAATGCGTACAATTGCATATTTGAATAAGATCTGAGGAAGTTTGGTTAAACGGTCCTGATAAACCCTCATAACCATCAAAACATCTTTATAGTTATCATCATACTAGCTCTGATTCTAATTATAAGACCTCATTTATACTTATAAATAAAGTCTTATAATTAGAGTCAGAAATAGTATTTCATTTTTATCATGTTAAACTCAAATTATAACTTTTTGCTTCAAGAGAAGATAAAATCTGTATTTTAATACGTAAAATCCGATGGGGCCAGTGTTGTTGTGAAGGACCCACTATTATAATAGCATTGGATGACTATCATGTTCAACAATATAATTAGATTAGATTATTTTTTGTCAAGATAGATGAGATCATGGACGGTGTAAATTATAAAATTAACATATTAATTCACTGTAGTCATGTTTATAATTTGAATTAAAGTAAGGAAAAGAAAAGGAAGAATGGAGGCAGAAGTTGGAAGGAAAGGGACGACAGTACATCTCGAAGCCAAGAGTTTCTGTATTTTGGGGGACATTTTGCACTAAGAACTATTTCTGTGTTTTGCTTCAACAAACCATGGTTTATAACGTTTGATGACTGAGAATTTACGAACTTTTTTTGAAACTATAAGTGAATGTTTATAATTAAATTTGATCTAAACGATTGGAAAAAAAAAACAACGATAAAGTTTTAAAGAAAAATACAGTAGAGAGAGGGGGGAAAGGGAAAGTTCGTCAGGTAGTGAGAATGTAGAGAAATAAAGAAGGAGAGGGGTGGGTAGTTGGTGCGGGATGGGTTTGGCTGCCCTGCCGTCAAAGCCACAGCTTTCGGCATTTGGTGACAAATTTGAGTGACTCATTCTTTAATCTTTATCTTTTCTCATTCAATACTTTTTATTAGTTCATTAACACTTTTGTCCGTTCCCCGCCTTAATTAGGTTGCAGGCTGGGCCGACGAGCGAGCCCGATCAGGTTGGCAGATTAATTGTAATAAAAAGAATCAGTATTCCTTTTAATATTTGAATTTCTCTCTCTCTCTCTCTTAAAAATACCCCTGCAACTTCAGCCGTGAAAGAAATTAATCTTCACAAAACAAAAAAATTGTCAGATAAGTATGTGTGAATTGCAAATTGCCAATTTTTGAGGCCCTGAGTCCAAGGCCTTCAAAGAGTTTTAAATTAAGCTTTCATCAATCAAGCCTCTCACACAGATCCTTCCAAAAAAATCTTCTTTGTCGAATTCCATTAGATCGAAGCCAAAAAAAAAAAAACACTGAACACACATTTATTTCTTATTTTAGAATTGTCCTATTCCTTTTTGGCTCTATCTATGTCATTAATATCACACGGTCTTGCCTGGCCCTCTCGCCTCTAAAATCAACTTTTTGATCTTCAACTTTCTCACTTTATCACTTCATCTTATCTCTTCCTTTATTTCTAAGAAATCATCCACATGATCCACGCACCCAATGATTTCTTCAGCCTCTTTATAAAATTTTTCTGCATTTTTGGCTCCCCCAAAAAACAAAATTTTAATTTTAATTTATACAGAAAATCATATTTTAACTTATCAGTGTAGGTTTTTAATTCCATGGTTGGGTTTTTTCCCCTTATCTTTCGAAGAAGAAACTTGCACACTCAACATATTCACAAAGGTCGAACATTAAGTCTTATATTTAAACAAGACTTCAACAAATAGTTGGTGTCCTGGGTCAAATTAAACGATCCCCTCCCATCTTTGCTATACAGTACGTAAATTTTAATTACTGGAGTATTCTATATAATATCGTTTACCTGTTGTTGCACCGGATTTGAAAATTTTTAAGTTTATGTGTATCAATAAACATGATTTAAAAATCTAGCTATGGATTACTGTTTTCATGATGTGAAAGTTATATGTGGTGAATAATTTTTTTTCCCCAAAAATGAGATTGAAAGATAACGATTGAGGACCTTATCGATCTCTAAATTTCTCATTAAACCTCCATCAACCCCCGTCCACGTGTATTAAGATACATAAACGTCGTTTAATTTTTCTAAAATCAAGCAGATTTTCAAAAATAAATTAATTGTTTAAAATAAATTTTTAAAAAAAGACTAGTAGTGAAGAAGCATGATGCAGCAAACAAACTCATCAGATCAGTAGATGATAACAAATGGGATTTTTTTTCTTGAAGCATTTTATAATGTATTAACAAATTACCAAACCACGTTTCTTGGCCGCTGAAACGATATTAATTATTTTATCTATGAACGAAATACTTTTATAACTGATCCACAAAACATGAAATTAGATTATCCTATCTGATGAGGGTCTCATCAGCTCATATGAACAACAATAATTTCCATTATTGCGCAGAAATACACTGCGTTATTACAACTTTATTTATTACCATAATATTTAGGGAAATTAAACATACTATATTTATATATTTGATTCCTTTCATGCTTACTGCGGCCGTACCCCATTATTAATTGTTATCTACAGTCCCTTTGCTTCATCCACAAAACGATCACAATTAACAATGGCTTCAGGCTTCAAATTTGCAAGCTGAGAAGAAGATGATGATCCCAATTCACATTGGCCAAAGTTAAAGCAGTGGCTGCAATATGATTTGCACTCAGTCCTGCAGCTTCAGTTTGATCAGCCTGAGACCCATGGTCGATGTATCTATCAGGCAGTGTCATCGGCCTCCACTGAAAGAAACAACCACACAAACCCAGCTAAGTCTTAAACATGAAATAACAAAACGTGCTTCCAGTTCATATAGAAGGATGATGAAATTAAAGCGACAAGTTATTAAGATTGCAGTTGATAATGGTGATACGTTATACGTACCTTGAGATTTCCATCCAGCAATCCGTTTAAGCCGAGGAAATGGGAAACATGGGAACCAAATCCTCCAATGGCTCCCTCTTCAACAGTGATGAGAATTTCGTGCTGTTTAGCCAGTTCCGTCATCAGACCTCGATCCAGAGGCTTACAGAATCTCGCATCAGCCACAGTGGTAGAAACCCCATGAGCTTCAAGGATCTTTGAAGCTTCGACACAATTCTGTACCATTGTCCCGTATCCAACCAGAGCAACTCTGCACCCTTCCTTTATAACTCTTCCTTTTCCAACCTGTATATACATGAATTTCAATTAGTTTTGCTTACAGTTTCATTGTTCTGATAATCCTCAGCATTGCGTGATGAGTTATTAAGTAATAATAATTAAGTACCTCCAAAGGCGTGCCCTTGTTATTTGGTGGAAGTGTGGTTCCTATTCCGTTTCCTCGCGGATATCTGAAGCAACATGGCCTGTCGTCGATGGCCACAGCCGTTGCGATCATATGCATAAGTTCAGTTTCGTCCGACGGAGCCATAACCACCATGTTGGGTAAGCAGGCCATGTACGTAGTGTCAAAGGCTCCACAGTGAGTCGGACCATCAGCTCCCACAAGGCCAGCTCTATCCATGGCAAATCTTACTGGTAGCCTTTGAAGGTCCACATCGTGAGCTACCTGCACCAACAGCCACAATGCCAAATATCAGACAATGAACGCATTTATTCTCAACTCACTTTGGAACGTTTAAGATTAAAACCCTCTCAGTAAATATGTTTCTTAAGAATGGAGCTTGTGTTCTTCTTCTTATTGTCGTGAGGTTGGTTACCTCTACCAACAACTTGTTTGTTGGTGACAAAGGACATATTTTAAACCATGGGGATGGACTAACTAAACATTAATGATTATGAAGGGAAAAACCTGATCGAAGCCTCTTTGAAGGAAAGTAGAGTAGATGGCACAAAAGGGCTTAAAGCCTTCAGTAGCAAGACCAGCAGCGAAGGTAACAGCGTGTTGCTCTGCGATTCCCACGTCGAAACACCTATTAGGGAATTCTTTCTGGAAGAGGTTGAGTCCTGTGCCACCTCCCATGGCGGCGTGGATGGCCACAATTTTGTCATCAACCTTAGCTTCCGCTATCAATGACTCTGCAAAGTACTGTGTGTAAGAAAGTGTACTTGTTTTCTTCTTCATCTGCTTCCCTGACCTTGGATCAAACTTCACAACCCCTGCACACACGAAGAAAAAAACACAACCCCTCCATATTTTTGCTACATGCATGTACAATGATCATAACAATATAAAAAACAGGTCTTTTGAACTAGTAATATACGTACCGTGCATTTTGTCAGGGGCATTTTCAGCAGGGAGATAGCCCTTTCCTTTCTCAGTGATGATATGAACGAGAACAGGTCCCATAAGGGGCGAGGTTTTGAGGTTATCAAAAACATATGTGAGGTCTTCCATGTTATGGCCATTAAGAGGACCGATATAGTACAGCCCAAGCTCTTCAAACAAACACACACCAGACCCACCAGCCACCCCTCTCACTAACGTATCCAACTTTGCAGCAACCTCATGTGCCTGGCTTCCCATTTGCTTCGTGATTCCCTGTTACGTCCGTAACCAAATATCAGGCTTTCAAGTTCTTGGGCTTATTAATAACTCCAAAACAAGTTGAAACAAGAAAGAGAGCGTTGTTATAATTAATTAACCAATTACCTTAGCAGCTTCACGCAACTTAAGAAAATTTTTGTTGGATTGAAGCCTGGTTAGGGCTCTGCTTAGGGCTCCAACAGGTTTGGCTGGGCCATCCACGGTTGCAGTGGGAAGCGAGACCTGTTCGTTGTCGTTTAAGACAATAATAAGCTTGGTGTGGTGGAAACCAGTGTTGTTCAGGGCCTCATAGGCTTGGCCTGCTGTGAGGGCTCCATCTCCTATAACAGAAATCACATGGTTGTTCCTCCTCATCAAGTCCCTCCCAACTGCCATTCCTGATAGCCAACACACAAATTAAATTGTCTCCAAGATTTGTTTTTTCATTTTTGGTCACAGGAAAAGTGGGCTTATATGGCCTACAAACTTTCTCGGCCTATATATTTGTTCCTTCCCGTTCAATTTTTCGGCCCATGGATCTCTAGACCTGCTGATTCCAACAACATTGGCATTCACAACTTGACATGCTTTTACTAGAAAGGCTGGGTCTAATGAGGCCTGTCCCCTTATAACATGACAAATCAAAATTTAAATACTTGTTGAGTGATGTGTTTATATTTAACACCTAACAATACTTTAGATATGATGGTTTTTAATTGTAGGATAGTCATATGGTTAAAAAAAAACCCATGCTTTTAAGCCGTGCACACGTACTTATAAGATTCTATGACAATACTTTCTCCTGTTAAAAATATAAGATAAATTTTGTTGAATGAGTTAGGGTTTTTAAGGAAAAACCATAAAAAAGATCGCTGAAATAAAAAAGTTACACACAGGGACCCATTCACAAAAATTATTGTCAAAACCCATACTAATATTGTCATGAGTCCTTATTTTTTAATTTTTCTATTTTGATGGTCTTTTTTTGCCATTTCCTCTTTTTTAATAAGATAATATTTATTTTTGTTTAAGTATTTAGTGATTTTTTCCAATTTTACCTCTAACATATATTTTCCTTTATCTTTGATTCATTTATTATATCTTTTATTTGTTCTCTTCATTAATAAGGGCATATTTGAAAAAAAATATATGCCTTGCATATTTATTGTTCTAAAATGATTTTAAATAATTTCTTAATAAACGCATATGAATAAAATTTACGTTATATTTTGAAGCGGGTGGAGTATTATTTTCCTGGAGCCAGCTATGAATTTATCGGAATTTTTTAAAAATTTTTTTTTCAAACTCTGAAAAAAAGAAGAAGAAGAAGAAGAAGGAGCGGCCTGTGAAAAAAATTAACCGCAGCAACCAAATGAAGAATCTAAACAGTGATTAATTAAGATTATAAAAAGAGAATCTAATCAGAGAATAATGAAAAATGAAAAGACATGTATACCCAAGCCAGCTGAAATGCTAGTAGAGCTATGACCAACTCCAAAAGCATCATGAACACTCTCATCCCTCTTCGGGAACCCGGCAAGTCCATTCGTCTGTCTGATAGTATGCATTCTGCTTCTCCTCCCCGTCAATATCTTATGCCCATAGCTCTGCAAGAAGCCACCCAACCACACACACACACACACACACACACATATATATTCTACGAATCATTCACACACACAGTGACAGAGATTATTCATTAAACTCTCAAATCAAAATGGTTCATTTGTGTGTTACCTGATGGCCAACGTCCCAGATAATCTTGTCGGTTGGACTGTTGAAAACATGGTGAAGTGCTACAGTTAAGTCAACCACCCCCAGGCTCGCACTTAAATGGCCTCCTGTCTTCGACACTACGTACACTATCTCCTCTCTCAGTTCATCGGCCAGATCTTCCAGTTCCTGGGCATTTCATAATTCTTCAGTAATAATGTCACTGTCAACACGTGCGCCAAAGCGCACCGCTTTTAACTAATCTGGTCGATGCAGTTAATCAACTCAGATACATGAAAATTAATGAGTGTGCAAGTGAATTCATTACAGCCACTTTTTGTCAGTTACTTTTGCCGCTCAACAGAGTCAGACCTGAATGGACAGATTCTTCATGTGGATTGGGTGGTTGATTGTGTCCAGGATCGGAGTGAAAGGCTTCTCTCCTGAGAAGTTCAGATTTCTCCTACTCTGAATCTTTGGATCATCGTTCTCTTTGCTTCCTTTGGGTCTCTTCGAGTCCTCATCAGCATTAGCATTATCCCCTTGTTGAGCACATATCGCTCTCTTCATCTGAGAAACATATCATCAAATACACGAATTAACGTTAATATATATGTGCCAGCACCGACAGAATCAATCCATAGATTTTTGCCTTTCTGCTTCTGAACTGGTATATGTTTATCAGCATACCCTTTGGAAGAAGGAGGCAGAGATTTGGGTTTGACGATCTGGGACGAAGCAGGATTTGTGCAGGTCGCTGGACTGGAAAAGCGGAAGGAAGGAGGGTCGAAGAACAGAGGAAGCCATTGTTGAAGCAGAAGGAATATGACGAGGAGGGGAAATAGTGAGAGTACAAGCTCGATGGCTCTGTGGTTGTGAAATATGAGCAGGACTTTCAGGTCAATTTATAGCCAAATTAGTCGCAACAAATTAATGAATAAATCTGACCTCATTACTTAGCTTTACCAAACAGAGAAAATCTGACCTCATTACATCGCATTGAATGAGTTGTTTACTCCTAGTTATTTCTTCCTAAGGCATTATAAGATACAAATAATTGAACCATGTAATTAAAGTCAAAATTGGTTGAGGACAATAATTAATTCATACAATTTAAAAAGTTAATTAAAATCTGTTAAAGATAATAAATATGTAAAACAATACAACTTATTTTTCTAAAATATTCTTATTTATGAAGAGGTAAGTAGGAAAGATAATGAGTGGAAAAAAAGAGATGAAGAAGACTTATACTTTATTAAGGGTAAAAATAAAAAAATTTATTCAATAATCAGACAAATTCAAAGTGATACTTATAAAAAAAAATCAAACTTCTTCAAAGATTTGATGCTTATATTTTGAAAATATAAAAAAAATATTTTTTTGAAATATATCTTTATTTATGGAGAGTGACTGAATGAGAAATAGAATGAGTTGGGGAAAAAAAAAAGATGAAACAAAGAATTGGTTAATTGATGCAGTGCATATTTATATCTATAGAAAAAAAATGAAACGAGTATATTCTATATATAAATTCGATGACTATGATTTTATGGCTGCTAGGTATGCTATAACTTATGGCTGTTAGGTATCCTATAATAGGAGGTCACGAAAAGGAATTATCACAATTCGGTCATATGAATTTCTTATTTGCTGACACTACCACAACTAGAAAACTTCAAATTGATATAATTGTCAATAATTTGTATGGGAGAAAGAAAGGATCTCGTTCATTGGGAACATTTAATTTTTTTGGACAAACTATTTGAATTATTTTCATTTCATTTTGGAAAATTTACTTTTAAGATGTATTTGTTTAATTCTTTAAAACAAAGGAAATACTAGAATAAAACAAAGACCCTATGAACCATTTATATTCAATTTAAATGAAGAATTTATTCTTACACTCGTATTATATAAAAAAATAATTATGAAAATGCTACCATATCCCTATTTTTATTGCTCTACGAATTACAAGAAATGAACCACTGCTATTCATACTTGATAAATAATAACTATTGGTAAAGTTTTTATATTCTATACAAATATAAAACTCCAATATATACATTTTTTTAGATGAAGCAAGAGTATCCTCAAGTTACATTGGACTTGAGACTGATCCTTTTCGGACTTAGAGCGGGTAAGGAATAGCCCTCCCAACAAGTGCGTTTCTCGGGATTCGAACTTATTTTCTCCTATTTATGTGAGTAAGACCGCTATCACATCAACTAATAGCTTGTTTTTTCCAATATATACATTTTTATCACAACAAATCTTTATTTTCTTTTGCTGTCGTCTGAATACTTCTTATAGGATATGATTACTAATTAATATTTCTATACATAGCATTCATATAATATTTCATTCATGCATTTGCTATCCATAGAGACAGATTTATACAAAATTTAGATATTGGATAATTGACTTTTTGTTCGTTTTCTTATTATGGAATTGAATGTATCTGGTGATGATTAAAGAGAGGTTTCATGTTGGCAAAAACAAAATTATATTTATATAACCACCCTTTTTTTTATTATCAACTCTCCAAATATATTGTTTATGCCTTGGCATGTTCAAATTACAATCTCCATTTCATTTTTCTGAAATTCGGTGTAATTTTTTATTCACACATTCAAAATTAATCATGCGCAGCACATTTAGAGAAGACAATAAATATGTGCATGCACACTGATATGTAGGTACATTGTAATATTTCATAAGATCATGTATTACTAGATTTTTCTGATTCTGAAGATAAATCCTAATATTTGTATGAAGATTATTAGTGATATTATTCCATACATACTTGGTTTTAATGTTAGTTAATATTTCTAGTGATGCATGAGAGAAATTATAACTTAATACCCCAAAAAAAAAGTTGATGAGAAGCTAAATGCTTCAAATTAGAACACATATCATGTCGCAGTCTCAAATCGATTATAAATTAAGACATATAAGTAAATCAATTTTATATTGACCATTATGTTAATGCATGGTGATATTGATTTGCTGACTATTACTCCATCTGTTTATATTTATAATTTTTGGAACACATTTAAAAGATGTTTAAATTTTTAACCAATCTTTTTATGTTTGCCCCTATTAATTATGTATATTAATTATCTCTCCAACATCTCTTTTTTTTTCGTACTTATTTTATTTCTCATTAACTATCTCTCCCCAAGTAAAAAGGTATTTTTAGAAAATAAAATATATTTTTTTACTCATTCATTATCTTTAACTAATTTTAACTAACCTTTTAATTTATATAATTGAATTATTTGTATATTATATATAGGATTGGATGGGTGTTAAAAAGGTCAAATTGAGCAAGGAAAATTACAGATTCTTATTTTTGTAAGTGACATAAAAAAAAATCAAAATACAGTATTAAATGCAAATGATTAATGGGGAATGAATTCTACTGGTTAGTTGTATCATATGCTCAACCTGACCAAATTCACTTTTATTTAGTTATAATTCAATGCACATGGTGCAAAAATTAAACATACTAATAACCACTATGATCCTCATTATTATTTTTTTTGGGTATAATTCAGAAATTTTCAAATCATTTTAGGTTTGAGACTAACCAACGAGTGTTCTCTTTCTTATAGGAGGTGAGACTGCTTACTATCCCAACCAATAGCTTGTTGGTTATGACTCTTATAAGAAGAAATTTTGGTTTTTTTTTTATTTGTCACTTGTACCCTTTTCAATGCCTTGTTTCTCTTTTTATTGGTTACTTATTTGTCCCTTTCCAATTCTACCCGTATTAATTATAGTGAAGATGAAAGGAGAATGAATGAGTAAAATAAAATATGCTACTATTTAATGCGTTCTAAGAAATTATTATGAGTGATAAATAATGAGGAGCATACGGATATTTTTAACCAAATTTCAAACATTATGCAAGATGCATGTCCCTGACAAGTGAAATGGATTCATTTCATTGATGTTAGGACAAAAAGAAATTTTATCGTTGTTTGTTTCATGTTTCTTAAAAGACTTTAATTTTAGGATTAATATTATTGTTTATCTTTATATTTTGATCAAATTTCAATTTTGATCCACATAGCTTTAAATTAGTGGCTTTGGTCTTTACAATTTTATAAAGACTTCGGTTGAGTTTAGGTATGGGAAAAAAAAAGAAAGAAATGATGTTGCCTCTTGAATCTGAAAAATGGAGCAATATTTTTCCCTTAGACTGACATTTTCTTTTGCCAAAAACTTATATTATTTTAACCATCAGTAGATAGAGAAAATTATAAAGAAGGCTGCTAAATATTACGAAGAATAAGTTTCCTTAAAAAATTAATGCCGACGAAGAGTCTAAAATTATAAACAAATGTTAAGAAGCTAGTGTTATTTCCTACCATTGTAAAAACAAGTGATTAAGCACTTTAACAAACTTTAATCGGTTATGTATCTTTTGATCGTCATCGTCATTTGTGACAGTGCTAGTAAGTAATTAGAAAATAAAAAAAATTACTTTAATAATAGTTGAATTTGTAAATTTCTAAGAAACACTCATAAATGTTGAAGGAGGAATCCCAAATTACCACACTAATTTAATTTAATACTTAACTGATATAAAAACACATTTACTTATAAATCACGTATGTTCGAAAATTTTTGAATAAACACTTATAAATTTTGGAAAGAGACTTGCAAATCAGCACAACGTTTTAATTGACAACTTAGACAGCGTAAAGGAACACTTGTAAATTTATTATGAGATTTGCCCTGTCGGCCCAATTAGATAGTTATTGGTCAAAATATATTGATAATAAGTAATGGTCTTTCACAATTATTTTTTATCTTAGATATTTATTTTATATTATTTTTTAATAAAAGACTTATTTATAATTTTATGGGGTTTATTCAAAATTTTCTTTTATCACTAACCGTCAAAATAATGGAAGTAAGACCGCTCTATCTTTTGGACTTAACACAAGAATAGAGAGTTATGGATAAAACTTTATACATATTAGCCACAACCGAAATTCAGTTCAGAGCTTCAGTCAGCGTTTTGCAGTTACAATCCGAGATTTGTACGGAAAAAAATTACAATCCGAGCTTAGACCTGCCCCAGTTAAAATATTAAAAACATTCATATATAAGTCTGCAAAATATAAAAGAAAACATTTATATATACACAAAAACATATAAAGATTCAAATAATTTTTAATAGAATTGTAATTCTCTAATGTAACTGTAATTTTATAAGTTGTAACCCATTAATATATTAATATAATACTATATCTGTTTTTTTTTTATTATAGCATAGGTATCCCTCTATTAGAAGCAATTCTATTTGAGGTATTGTTGGGCATTAAATGTGGGCACCTCTCCCAATATAGATTCAAACTTTGGTTCGTCATGTTATGAGGGACTAGCTCATTTTGCTAAACCTAACCTGGTCTGGTTCTAAATATAATATTTTAATTTATTTTGTTTTCTAAATTTATAATTTTTTTTCCTAAAACATCCCTATTGAATATAAAGATTTTTCCCTTTTCACCAAAAGGGCGTTCTAATATATATAACTAAATAAGGAAATTTAAAAAAATTCAACATATTTTTGTTACAAATAAACAATTTAACTGATTTTATTAATCTTCTTAAATTAGTTATCTACTCCCTCTGGTCAACAAGCTAATTCACAAAGAACACAAAATAATAGTTATATCATTAAATGTGTTTTAAAAGTATACAATTTTCCAAACCTATCCTTATAATAAACTTCAAGGAGTCGGTGAAAAGCTATTTGTATCAGTAATAATAATTTGTAACCGGGGATAAATTAG